GCGTCCCGCTTGTGTTGGCATCTTAGCAACAGCATCATTTAACTGGTTAAATTATTTTTTCTTTAGCGGAGACTCTATTAAGCAATTTATTTTCGAAATGGCGCCGATGTGTTAAGTCTATTATGAGTAAAAATACTTTATATATCATACTATAAACAGAGGTCCTGCCATAATAGACAAATGAATATTGTCTATAGCAGCAACGCCATTTTCCCGAGAAAACGCGGCCAGAGAAAAGACGAAATGGTTAAAAGAAAGTAAAATTTGTACAACGGCAGAAGCTGCGTGGCCCTACGACAGTTTAAAACGTACGTAATTAGTATTTTATGAATGATGATGGAAAAGGGCACGCCAATTATTAACAGCATGTGATTGACGTCGTTCTTGGAACGGCCCCCAGTACGGGTGTAATGATACTTCTACTTCGTTTCCATCTTTTCGTGAGGATATGGATGGAACTTTTGCCTGTCCATTCGTACTTACTAAAGCTGCATAAGAATAACGAAAAGGAAACAAATCTTTAAATTATGAGTAAATAAAAAAAAACTGCCACGGCGCATCGTACATTTGTTTGTTAAACAACGAATTGGTCAACGTCATCTGGCCTCTTCATATTATTTATTTCTAACACAACAAGAAATATTTAAGTCGGTAAACGTATAAGAGAAATCGACGAAGATAGATACACAAGAATATTCCGACCGATGAGAGCTTCTTTTTTCGAAGTCGGTTGATAAAAAGCGGTGGAAACACTAAAAACGTGATCTCTCAATGGAGCCCGTGGGAGCGGCTCCTCGCTCGGGGGCTACAAAGCGCGGGAGGTCGGGACACGAGTCAATATTGACCCCGGCTACCTATTAGGGTCCAGTTAAACGCTGCACGGTGACCGTTCGTCTTCATTCATTTATTCCCTCCATTCAAGCTTTCCAATCTTCGTCCGCCAATATATGGCGATCCGATTTGGTTTCCATACATTACAAAAATAAAGTCTCAATTAAAGATGTACACAGAAAAATAAACAAGGAAAAAAATTTTGCTAAAAGTTTTATTACTTTAATGAAGCTTTTAAAGACACTGACAGATAAACGGGATATGAAAAATATTCATTCAATGCAGTGTTCCGTTTTTAAATAATGATATTTGTAATGAATGATTCGACGAAGAAAACGTTATGTTGTACCTGTATTTTACTAAATATGAGTGCAAAGGTGATTTGAGATGACAAAAGCTATTGAAACCCTTGCCGGAATAGGTGAAGGTGGTATTTTATAATACTAAGAATACTTAATATTATTTTTGTGATGAACTTATAATACTGAAAAATATCTTAGAAACAAATAACAGCGTAGAGACAAGGTACTGCAGAAGGCCGTGCATAGTTGTGTCCGATTTTATTTACGTTCGAAAACCGGAGTATTGTTTGTATACGGCGACACTGTCACTTTTGGAACAAATTAATGTAACTTGTATCTCTGTATACCTAATATCCGTGATCATATGCATAGAACCCGCATGTACTGACGCATCGACGAAAAAACTTAAGACTAAATATGGTCACTGTATCCCTTATATACAGCTTCCATACTGGCCACAAACGATGACTAAATGCATAAAACACAATGCCACTCGCATTTGAAAAAAATAAAACGGAGCGATGCGATGATATAATTCCGAGCGACGGCATTCTTTTGGCGCGAAACCGCAGCCATCGCGTCGCGTAGTTGCAATGTCGAGTTGCGAATTTCGTACACTTCGCATTGTAATTTTAAACTTCTGCGCCGGACGAACAAAAGGCTGCTCGGAGTTATGGCCGCGAATGCCTTTCGCATGACTGTAAAACTCTGGGCTCCGAAGACTAAACAGCGCCCCTACCATGAGTCACACGCGAGCAACTCGAACGAGTCGTATAATTTCGAATGCTCTTCCTAGACTGAACATAGGGCTAGATTTTTTATGGGCAACCCCGAAGAAATGCGAACGAGAAATGCACATTTCCAATGCCAGTTTATTCAAATGCCGCGTCGCGTTTTGACCGACGTTCAACTGCTGGCGATGCAAAAAGAAGTGTTTCCTGTGCGTGCAATAATTGGTTTGTAATTGACGATTGAAAGTGGCATTGAAAATTACCACTGCAATTATTTTATATCTGAAAAACGCCCAGTGGTTTATAACTTTGTATCGGACAAAATAACAAACTACAAAAGGAATTTCGAATCTCGATGCATTTTAAGTCGGTGATTTCATGTTTTCGAAGTCACCCTCCGTTCATTGTAGTCTTCCGGCTGATGATGATAATGATGAAACACCACAAGACACAAGAGCTTGTTCGAATAAAAAACAGCTTAAAATAATAAAAAATCTAGTCGTAAATTATAAACAGAGTTCATTCACAAACGGATAGCGTAACAGATCGCGTAGAAAAAGAAACACAACTTGCTAGTGTCATTTAGACTAAATGGGAACAAAGGTAAGTAATGAGACTATATCGATATATAGAAATTTGTTTCGTATAAGTTCTTATGAATCAATTCCTCGTGTATCAATGAATATGAACACTGAAAAGTGAAAACGTTTGGATGACGTGAAAGTGATTTCAAACACACACGCTGATACGTATGCAAAATTATTTGATATCGCAAACGAGGTGATTGTTTAATGCCGGGGAAGTGACAGAGCCGACATCATCGCCAAGGGGAAACAGATAAGGAACAATGGCTCATTGAGTTAACATTTTATTCGCCAATAGAATAGTAATGCTCGAAAGACATGATACGTCCGTTAAGTTTTGCGATAAAAATATTCGAATGATATTTCAGCTGTTCCCGAGAAGCTTTTAAGTTAAGTGGTACCTTAACATTCATCGCCAAAAAGATAAAAGCAGCTGTAACCGATAGATACCCTTAGAAAAAACTGAGATGGTTGATAAAATTTTTATCAATTATAACTTCTTTTCCTAACAATGAGGGAACGAAATGGTTATAAAGTAACATTTTATTTTTCGCGTTACTATTTAAAGGACGTTACCCGGCTATGTAAAAAATAGGAAAATTCCAAATAAAAATATGTCCATAAAACAGTTATATCACTCAGGGAAAATAAGGTCACGATATGGTATTTCGTGGACACCACAATCTTTGGAGAGGAAACTGCAAAAAGTATCATGTATCGCTCGTCGTGGACCAATCCAAAAAAGGCCCGACGGATTCGACAAAAACCTCTTTTTGTCGAACGAATTCGTTAAGACATTCCAAATGATAAAATCATTCGGCACGCACTAAGTTGAAAGCGTTCGTGCTAATTATAATGGACAAGCGGCGTCGTTGCACGTAAAAGAAACAGATCATTCGTACCTGACATATCATCGCTACATTATTGCAAATTTACAATGTAGAATCCCTACATTTATATGTGAAGATACTTGCACGCAATAAATAACACGTTCCGTTACCACCGGATGGTACCTGTATTTATTTTTTTATTTAAGCTCATCGAATTCGTTCTGTACGGATCGGTTTGACTTTAAAACATTGATATAAAACATAAAGTCAGTGTGTCTGCCCGTATACATCAGTGAATATCTTTACTAATATCGTATTGTTTTTAGTGTGTGTGTTTACAAAAATTTAATCGTTTAGCCGTAATAGCCTCTCCAAATAATTACAAATCGTTCACTGCCAATCTCCGCTACTTCACGTTTAACATTCCTTGAAACTAGTAAGAGACAACATAGGAAACTATGAAAGTTTGTCCTCTTTCCGAACAGATCAACAGATCATCTGTAAATCTGTTCTGGTAACACCTGTAACAGGTGTTACCAGCACACCTGGTTTATCAACAGTGAAAACGTATACATGCAACATTGCCGAAGCCGGTACTCGGGTTGTTACTAGATAGTTTATGATACATACATTCAGCATTGTCATGTCGAAATTCGAGTTTGAGAAGTTGGTTCGAGAGAGAACCTTCGGTAAGGACTCCGACTGTGTAAACAGTCGACCGGCGACTCGTGAGTGCATCTAACCATCCGTTACTACTAAACTTCATTGGGCCATTTAAAGACCGCATAGATACTACAGAGATACACTCGCGTGACAACACTGCTCGTCCATATTCATTTGGCTAGCGAAATGATTGTTGATCAAACACGCGAGTCACATCTTTAGTAGAATGTCGGACGCGCCATATGAATATGCGATAAAAGTGATGATGTAGTAAGTGATAGTAGATTACATGTTACCAAATGAAACTATATGTTACACAATCCACTGGCAGCACTGCTTAATATACGAGCAATAACAATTATACTTAATAAACATTGAACCATATCTGGTATAATATTATGTAATAAACCATGCTTAATAATAATTTATAATTTAATAGGTCAATCTTATTAACTGTATTAGTAATTTAATAAGTGCGTTGATTTGTAATGTAGTTGTGATGACTCTTTATATTTTTGTATATAAACGCATAATGTTTCAGTGATAGGGTAGAACACTCTTATCCTTTGTATAGGACGTTACTCTATCCTAATAAGTAGGAAGTAGTCTAATTAATATATAAAGTTGTTTACGCTATCCTCACTATTTTATTTTGGCCGACCAACCTATTAATGGATGTTCATGCGTTTAATTTTAATTTGAACTACAGACGCTTTGACTATAAGTTCAACCGACTTCAAAAAAGGAGATGTCTCAATGTTGTAATTTGTATTGTTATATTATATCGCTTGAAATTTTTATGTTTGTATCGTGTTTGTACAGACTGTCAAAGAAATAACGCAGATGACATAAGTTGGGACGTGTTTCGAATTGATTGTCGGTAAATCGTGAATGACATATGCTGTTTCTTTCAACTAATCCAGATTTAACACCAAAAGTTAGGGAAGTTAGTAAGTTACTTGTAGATGTGTTGTGGTGAACTTACTATCAAATTTCTATATTTTAACACCGAAAGTAAGGGAAGTTAGTAAGTTACTTGTAGATGTGTGGTGAACTTACCATCAAATTTCTTGGCCCTGACCGACAGTATGTCCGCCAGCTTGCCTAGCTCGCTGCGCAGAGCGTCTGTGAGTTGCTGATGTGCCTTCTCCGTGAGGGCTGTGTTGGCTTTGGGACCGCAGCAGCCCCGGTTGAGGCAGAGGCCCCCCGCATCTGTAAAGAACAGAGGGCTTGTTAAATCACTTAGCCTTGAACGCGTTAAGCATAACCTTCAAAAAGAGGGCGTACTCTTTCTTAAAAGGCCGGCAAGGCATTTGTGAGCCCTCGGGTGTTGCAGGTGTTCATGGGCGGCGGTAGTCACTTACCATCAGGTGAGCCTCCTGCTCGTATGCCCCTTTTCTCCATTAAAAAAAAAACATTTCCTCTCATTATTATGTCATGTAATATATAGGTAACTAGCCGACAGACGTTGCCCTGTACACACGACTTAAATCCGACAACAACCTGAAGTCACACAAAAAATTTCATTAAAATCGGTCCAGCCGTTTAGGAGGACCATACACAAGTACAGAAGAATTATATATATAAATAAGATGTAATTCGTATTAACTCCTCCAAAATAATGTTGTAATATTTTGTATTAAAGGTGAATAAAGTTATCTCATGTAAAAAAAGACTTTTAAAGGATGTAACTATATTAAGAATAATTTTATTTTCTGGTAACACTGTTGCTTTTATGTAATCTCTGAAACACAAGAAGTCATTCTGAACTTTCCTTAATAGAAAGCTCCATTATCACTGAATAACGTAGACAGTTTATTCGAGTAAGATAAGATTCAAATGGTTCGAGGGATGTTTCACGAACAATTAACGATAGAAAGTACACCCAGAATTTAAATAGATATAAAATAAAAATAAAGATAATTAAAACAAATCTGTGATATTTGAATAAAGCAACCACTGACAAAGCTTTTCAGCGTATAGAACGTAGTTATCAAAGGGAATTTTTCGTAATTTCGTAATGTGTTCGCTAAAATGCAGTACGGGAATATAACTTAACCTAATATTTTTTAACCGTGCGAGGCCAGGAGAGCATGCTGCGATATAAGTAAAGTTCGTATCGGTAGCTTTATAAAATTCACATGATACGCCGATAAAAGTAACGTGTATTAGATAAAATCAACACCAGTTTCTGTGAGCTTCAACAATCCTTTCATCTGCGCCTAACGTTGGCTACCAGGCTTTCATAAACGTTGCGAAGTAGACGCGAACGAAAGTTTCTGTGTGCTCCGACAATCCTTTAATTTGCGCTTAACGTTGGGTTCCAGGCTTTCATAAACGTGGCGAAGTGTAACAGTAGACGCGAACGAAAGCGTCCCGACGCCGACCCGCTGCGTGGCAATTTATCGAGCGATTTCGGTCCCCAACTCCTGGTGTAATCCAATAACGCCGTGCCAGGCGGATGTTTAAACTTATTTGGGCCCCCATTGATCGCCCGGTGTACCCGACGGCGAACGCGGCCGGACCCTACCCTAGGCTAGACACGTCAGTAAATGTACGCAACATGTTACACTAACTTTTTCGATCGAGTCTCGCGTGTAATCACAACTTTGGGTTAAAGGCAATTTGTTAAACACAACTATGTGTTTATCATACCTTTTCATTTTTTATACTGTTCTTTACGAGTAAAGTAGCAAGTAAAATTATGCAATGTAGCTCAGTGTCGGAGCAACCTCGGTTCAAATCCCGGAGCCAGCACCAATGATATTGTTAATTGAAGTGCTGACTCGTCCTGCTCGACGGTGAAGGAAAACATCGCAAAGAACCTTCATATAATCCAATTCATAATTCAAACAATTCATAAAAAAGAAAAATGTATAATAATTTTGAAGAATTGTGAAAGCTGCCAATCCGGAGTGGGGTCGCGTGCTGAACTATGCCCTAACACCTTCTGTACAGAGAAGCCCCAGCATAGGCATATATAACATATAAGCCTCACTTTACTTTTAAAGTTATTGCAAGCAAGAGCAAAAAGACCTCAGGGGGCCTGATATTCTCTTCCTTCATCTACACCTTAATTTACTGTTGGATTAAATTAGTTTCATCGGATTTATTGGGTACCAACTATTTCAATTATTATTCATTGATATGTAATTTTAATGCATACACATCGGTGTTATATACGGCATTGGGTGCCAAATAATTCAGAGGTGCTAACGTGGATCCTGAAGCGGTAATAATAACAGCTGTCTCAACTTGGCAGACATAGCTGGCCACTCTGTAAGGCTTTGTGGTTACCCCTGAGGGTCCACGAAGCACCTTTCCGTAAACGTGCGCAGGGCTATAACGGGAAATCCCCAACACGAAGCAACGCTCGACGCTGCTAAATTCATCTCGTACCGGCAAATTGTTGGGGTTTGAAATCCGTTTTGCGCTTTTCGGATTGCTTACGTAAATATATCTGTCACACTCTTCTTGGGGTAAGGCGCCAAGGTAACACGTGTCATGTCGGGGACACACTTTACTTGACAAAGCTCTACCTAACACTAAATAGGAAACCCTATTTCAGAAAAACATATAACATTAATTTATCCGAGAAATATTAACAGAAGCGAAACATTACCTATTAGCCCAGTTTATTCAGGGAAACCATCATAAAATTCATGCACGCAACGAAACGAATGCAGCAACAATATCATAATCAGAACAAACCCCGTTCATATAAATAACTTCATTACTTCGTAGTTTGCGCCCTCATCGTTTCAGTCTGTAACTAGACCGCCATTTCACGTAAAAATGACGTAGCATTATAAACTCACGCAACTGGGGATAGAGTCCAATTACAATTTGCTTGTAAAGAGTATATCTAAATTGAAGTCACGGCACAAGGCATGAAAGAGAGCGGAATGCTTTGTTACAGGATAAACATGTTGTCTCTACGGTTACTGTAGAATTTTTATTCACTCTGCGAAAATGGTAGTGAAACAGTGTGCATTTGATAAGGCTAACAAATGTTTGTCTGACGAAATACTTTAATTCGGGTTCCTTTCATTTAAACTTTTACTATAGCGCGTTGGGTTCTCAAATGACAGGATAATGGATAAGGAAGGTTAAGATTTGGGAATGTTCCCGTTCCAACTTTGACACCAATCAGAAAAAGATTGGCAAATCAGGTTTAGAACACTTTGGACATAAGATAATACGAAACATCTTGAACGCTCATGAGTGAACATATATATGTAGGCGTAGGATAAATAAAATCTTTATTTTGAGTATATTGTTACTATTTTCATCTTTATTTAAATTAATACATTTTAAGACACAGATACACGTTACTCGTTCGTGGCGTCGTTGCGAGAGTCCCTCAATCCCTTTTACGTCATCCATCCTTCTCATTCACACAATACTTCGTTCAAAAATCATCTTTTACTCAACTATTAAATAATTAATCCTACAACTCGGCCATTCTGCAAATCAGTTTGGCCTCAGACTGAAGCTACTTTACCACAGTTATACTAAGTACTTAACACTTTTTTTCCTTCTTCATAGACATAAGTGTTTTAAAACATACAACAAAAAAAAATAACAACACTAATTAGATCCTTTACAACCACAGGTAGTTTAGGCAGTTTTAGTAGATGTTTAAAAAATACAAAATTACAAAAACAATTACTTAATCAGTCAAAAAAAAACAATTTGTATCAAGGCCATCTCTTCATATAATCTGAAGCTGATGTAGTTCTTATCGGCCCTTCTTTACCTCTGTCTATTTTATCTACCTCATACCTACCCCTTCCCAACTCCTTTGTAATTCGATATGGTCCGTAGAATTTTGGTTTTAATTTTAACGCAGTTCCAAACTGTACACGTTGTATAGCAACTAGATCACCTTGCTTGTACTTCTCTCCTTCTTTACGTCTTTTGTTATATGTCTTTCTTTTCTCTTCTTGGATCTTTAATATTTGTGCCTTAGCCTCTCTTCTTGTTTCATCTCTTCTACTCATAAATTCGATTCTGCTTTCCTCTTCTAAGTATTCCATAATAGATAAATCTTCCTTCAGTTTTAGTTTCACTCCCGTTAACAATTCAAAAGGTGTTGTGTTAATTGATCGTTGATATGTGCTTTTAATGACTCTTTGAAGCTTACTCACATGCTTATACCAATGGCCTGGTTCTTCTATACACATCTTTGTTAAAGTAGAAATAATAACTCTGTTCACCCTTTCAACTTGACCATTTCCGCGTGGTATTCCAGTGGCAATAGTCATATGTTTAATGCCTTCCTCTTGACAGTACTCTTGAAATTCATTCCCTGTAAAAGCTACTCCTCGGTCAGTAATGATTCTCCGTGGGTTACCATAATCTTTCTGGTGCAACTTTAACTTTTCTACGGTTTCCTTTGCTGTCACAGTCTTAACAGGATAAATCCAGACGAACTTTGTATATCCATCAATTACAGTAAGTATGTAGTTATACATTTTATTAGTTGCATCTAATGGCCCTAAATGATCACAATGTCAAGTATCCAGTGGTAATTCTCCTTTATCAATTGGATTTAAAAAGCCTTCTTTCTTACCAGACTTTCTACTCGCTAATAAACAGGGTACACAGGTAGAAACAATCTTATCGATTTTACTGTCTAGTTTTGTAATGTAATAATCTTTTTCTATTATATCCTTAATCTTCTTCTTCCCGAAATGTCCAATTCCATGAGCTTTTTTAATCAATTCCATATCCATCATATCAGGTAATACCAATTTCTTCTCCGGTCCTTTATAGATAACATCATTCTCTAAAAAATAATCTTCATATCCATTCTTTTCTAATAGTTTTCTGATAATCTGTAACCCTTCATTTTCTTCTTGTGCCTTCTTTATTCTCGCATGTAACTCAACATCCACAAAACAAATGTTTCTGCTCAATGCGTCAACATGTTGCATCTTGTCTCCTGTTCTATGTTCTATAGAATACTGAAAATCCTGTAAGTATAGTATCCATCGTGCTACTTTTGCAGATGCATCCTTTTTGTTCAAGGTTTTTTGAAAGGCTTCACAATCAGTGACAATTTTAAAGGGTATTCCTATAAGATATCTTCTGAATTTCTTCACGGCTTCAATAACAGCTAAAGCTTCTAACTCGTAACTGCAACACTTTTGTTGAACTTCTGTAGTCTTTCTGCTCATGTAGTGAACAGGATGTTGACAACCATCATTAGGGTCTCGTTGCATTAAAATAGCTGCATATCCATGCATAGAAGCATCTGTATGTAATTCAGTTTCCAAATGAACATCAAATATTTTCAACACTGGTTCACAACATAATTTTGACTTTAATTCGTCAAAAGCTTGTCTTTGAACATCCTCAAACTTAAACTCCCCTTTTTTCAATAAATCACTTAATGGCTT